TACAAAGAAATAAGGAGTAATCGAACTCACTGGTGGTGTCTCTGATAGTTCGATCGAATAACCAAGACAAAGGTGATTGAAAGGCCTGCAGATCAAGAGAGTGCTAGGGTTTGAGATAAAGTGATCGCTTGAAAAATTTATAAAACCCAAGCCCTAATTTTTGAACTCTACGAATGATTCAACGACACAAATTCCATACCTTGGCTGTTGGCTGGCAATCACCCTGTCGGATATTTTAACCGGCGAAAAGGAGATGTTGTCCAGATGCACCACCGACTACGATGCTCGATCGGTGATTGGTATTCACTCTCTGCATTGTTGTGGCCCTTGTGGACAGTCATATGTATTCACGATGAGAAATCGTGTGGAATTTGGGGGCAATGGGAAATTGAGGGGAAATTTTTGGGGGAAAATAATTGGGTATTCGACGATGTATTGTTTATTTTTATGAGTGAAGATTAGATAAGGTAATTTTTAGAATGTTTAATTCTTAAAATTTAAGGAATACGACGTAGCATAAAGAAAAAATAGTAGAGACGATATCATTTTTAGTCATTAATATATAAATTGCGGGACAATTTCTCTTCCCGCCAAACAAATAGTGACTAATCTTATACCACGTCACTAAAACATATTCTTTTTGTGACAAAGATTACAGTGGTTGCTAAAGAGCTACCTCTAGTGACGAAATCGATTTTGTTGTTAAAATTTTCGTCACAAAAGGTCATTTTTGTAGTAGTGTCTCTCTCTCTCTCTCTCTGTTGTATGTGCACAAATTCATCGGGCGAACACTTCAAGCATCCATGACTGTGAAATGCAGTTTCTACCTCAAAGCTTCTCTGTACTTGATTTTCATATTATAGTAAATGCAATCTACTCTTTTTATTGCAATCACATAGCAGATTCCATGTTGTCTTCTCTTCTTCTCTGTTGTACATCAGCAGATTCCAGATTTGTTTGATTTCTTGTCTTTTTGCTCTTATATAAAATGTGATTGTTCTAGTTTTTATAGATACCATCTCTCTCTCTCTCTCTCTCTCTCTCTCTCTCTCTAACAAGTGTGGATTTTTTGACCCAATGAGTTTAAAATTTCTTGAACCCAAGTTGCCATACTTTTGCATCTTCACTCATCAATTACGAGGCTTAGGAAGATGTTTTCTATTTTAGGAATTAAATATTTAAATCTAAGTGGAGAGCAATCTTGTGCAGAGATCGTTACTTTTTCCAATTAAATGGCAGTTTACTTATTATAAAGGGGGTTTTCTAAAGAAAAGATTCATAATTCGGGTTTTTGAGATATGAGTTTTTCAGATTCAAAATACTTTTAGACACACTTCTTTGTTTTTCTTTTCCCTTCAAGATTTGATGCTCTAATGCTCCCATAGTTGTTAAAGGATCACCTAGGCCCCAAAAAGTTTCCAATCTCATCAAGGCCCAACCATATTATTAGACAGTTCATTTCAATCAGGCGCGTATAAAGCTCTCAAGCATATGCTTTTTAAGTCATCCAATCATATTTTTCGTGTTTTTTGTCATGACATGTTCTTATACAATAGAATCATTATTCAATAATATCATATATCTGGTGTTTGGGATTCATAGGCATTCTCTTGAATTACACGTGTATGGTGCTTGATTCCATTTATAATAACATAATATATGTTAAAATTTACATGGTTATAGACTTTCAATTATTGAACATTCACATGGTATTTGATTTAGTTGAATGCAATTGCAAATTCAAGGACTATATGTATTTCGATTTAGCTAAGCCTCTTAATTGATATTGCCAAAATATAAAATACTTTATATATATATATATTTGGGTACTTTTTGTTGCATATGTTGAATTCTATTACAAATATACATTTATTTCACAGTGCAACTTCCTTATACTTGCACCTTATGATGCATCTATGCTTAAGCTATAGGAGACCTTGATTCCTTAGCACGCTTAAAGCCTTTAATAACTATGTATTCTCCTGCTTCTGTTTAATTATCTGCTTGGCTAGTTTTGAATTAGTGAGAGGAGAAGCAGGATGCAGTATCTCAGTGATATTAGAGTTTGACAGCATTGGCAGGAATTAGAAAATTTCAGTTTCTCTTTTGATTTCATTATTTAAATTATTTGTAAGCCTGTCTTAAAATGAAGTAGGTAGCATATTTTGAATTTTAAGTTGCTTAAATTTTTATTTCATTGAGCATTTGGCTGTGTAATATTTTCTAAGAATAACCTTACAGAAATTTTGTTCTTTGGTGAACTTATGAGCGACAAATGATTCTTATATCATCTGCTTCTTTCTTCTGATGCTGTTCACTTAAATGTCTGAGTCCTCGGAAGTTGTTACTGATATTTCTAGTATACTAGAATCAACTGTCCTTGAGGGGAGCCTGTCCTTGGGAGCGCTCCCCTCTTGAGCGCCTTTAATGAAATTTTACTTATCCAAAGCGTGTATATATATATATATATATTGAAATTTTATACTAAACCAATTCAGTGTCCCGAATTGTTTTCAGTTTAAGGTATAAGGAATGGAGGAGGATATTTTCCATTGTGTTAAGTTTGATGAGTAAAGAAGCTATGTCTAATGCAATCAATTTATTGAATTTATGTAAAATAGGCTTTAAGTAGCATGTGAAGAAAATAATCTTGGTCCCCATTAGTACGTTGACATGTCTAGTAGAAGAATAGGTAAAGAAAAGGTAGAACTGCTTACCTTTATGAGATCCAAAGTTGAGTTTAATTGGTTACTCAGGTGTAAGGTTCGAATCCTCTTGGGTGCAAACAATTCCTTTTTTTTTTGGGTTTTTTTTTTGTGTGGGGGGGGGGGGGGGGGTGTGTGTTTGAACTTTAATTGGTTACTGGTGATTTTATTAAGAAGTATTGGTTTTGATCTGTACACTGATGATGATTTTGATTGAGAAGCGAACATGGATTTGGAAGGTAGAGAATGTTGGAAAGGGCTTGTATTTTGTTTATTTGGGAAAACCAAAATTGAGAAGTTTGTTTATCCATGAGATGCACAGGATCCAGTGTTTCAGTTACATCAGTGTGTGAAAAAATTAATATGAGTTAGAGAAGTTAAGTTCCTCCGTTGATTAAATTATTTGAAATTGTGTTAAATAAAGTAGGTTTCAGATTTGGCACTTCAGGTTGCTTAAAAAAAGGGTTAAATACACTGACCTCCCTTAAGGTTTTCCCTAATTACACATGGATCAAGCCTTTCAAAAATTTTGCTCCATGTTCTCCTGACGTTTGGTCACTTGCCCCCCGCCGTCCAGAAAAATACATGATATGACCAAAATGCTCATCCCTCCATCTGAAATGACTTTGTTAACCTTACAATGACATTTAATTACCAAAAGACCTTATTTTATAGACAAAATTGCCCTTGGATGAAATGAAATGAAATAACCCAAATTCAAGTGAAATGAACATGGAATGTAGGAGATGCTAATAAAGTGAACCAGATGTAGCAGTTGCGTCTTCATTTGTCTACAAATCGAAGAAGAGGCAACAAAAGGTAAGAATATTGAAAAAGCTCAAAACTTGATGGTGAAGACATGGTATATGGAGATGAAACAAAGGGTCCCTCAGGTCTAGACGAATATATAGATCTATAATGCATATAATGGCATAAAAAAGGAAAGAACTTTGGTTAAGAGCTGTCATCTGTTTTTATACTTTTTTGAACTAGATCTATAAGAAGTCTTTAAGCAATAATCAATCTTGTGGGAGTAGATCGGCCGAGGTGGTGGCCGTGGTTGGTGGTGGTGGTGAGGTGGTTGAAAGGAGAAAGAGAACTGAGGGAAGGAAGAGAGAGAAGACCCACTTCGACGCCACCTGTGGCTGCCAGCACAACTACCACCACTGCTATCCCAAAGATCCACTAGCTGTTATTGTGAAGTTTGTAGGTGAAGTCTCCAGTTGATGGGTTATCAGTGCTATTCCGCAACGTCAAGTATTGGTCTAGGCCAGTGTCCCAGTTTAATCCCATCTTCGTGCCTTGGAATAGTGTATTGGCATGTTTATATCCCTTTTTTCTTCAAGGCAAAATTATTGTTAGAATCACTACTACGATTATTGGATGAGTGGAAAGATGAAAAAAAAAATTAAAAATTTTATGCTAAAGGCCAAGGGCAAGCAATCCCTGTGCACATGTTGTATGCAATTGCAGACAAAAACTAAGCTTTAGAGCTCCGCACTTCTTAGCCTAGACTCTAAATGTTCAGTAGCAATTAGCACTGCATCCAAGATATGTCTGCATTATGAAGTGATTTGGGATTTGAAGATAATACCGTCCACAGGCCAAGAATCTTTCAATTCTATTTCATCGCATCTCCTTCGTACAAAATCAGCACAATGAAGGAAGCACTTGGACTCCATCAAGACGAAGAAAGTTTAAGGATGATGTGTATTCAAGAAAGTAATGAAATATTAGAACGTAAGTGGGCTCAGGTGGCTAGCAAATATAAATGAAATAAATAAAACCATCTAGATTTTGAGCAGGTCTATGACAGAGTTCAGGTTTTTCTCCCTTGTTATTCAGAAAGGGCCAAATGGTAACTATGTTCCTTGTTTGAGCAAGAATGATTTGTTATCCACTCCATGCTTCATGGATCTTAGTTAGTATCACGAAATCTAAGTTCTCTAGCCAAGCACCTTTACATAAAAACCAGTGGCAGGAGGATGTAATGGTTTGAGCTGTAGTCTCATCATTTCTTTGTTAAAATCTTATGTCACCATGTTGTCAATGAATTTTGGTCCTGAAGTCTGGATTGAACTCACAGTTCCATTATTACTTTGTTAACCCTTCTTGGCCTTCCTGTAAATTACCTGTCACGTTTATATGCCCTTTCTGAAATGATATGTCAATCTCTTAACAGATTTATGCTTCACACTTATTGCACAATGGACCTTTGGCATTTACTGGATTTTTAGCATTAGAGTTACTAACTTATTTGCTCATGGTACTTAATTTGATCGTTTTACGTTGCAGCAGAAACATCCATCCGTCTCCTTTATTAGACAAGGACCAAGAGGAGAAGGCCCAGAGGTGCGAGTTTGTACGGGGCCTATTATTCTCAACAATTCTTGACGATGACTTATGATTGAGACAGGATTGCACCAGTGCTCTTCAAAATTGAATAGTGAAAGAGAAGTCCACCATGATTGAAGTTCATTCCTGATTGTGCTTATGTTTGATAGCGTAGTTCAGATGTAGGAGTTGAATGCGATGCATGTTACAAATCGATGTTACCAGTTAGGGAAGAAAAGAAGCAGGTTCTTGTGTTGCTCTGATTTTTGTAAGAGCTCTTATGTATAAGAAATGTGATTCTGTATTGTGCTCTTCTAACATAATCGAACTTTTTCTTTTTAATAGAAGATCAGATATAGCTATTTATTTCATCCAAAATTGCTGTGTTTGTGTTCCTATGGCATTTTCTTTTCTTTTTTTTCGGGAACATACAACTTTTCCCAATGTCATATGGCATGCTGTCTCTACGTACAAAGTCAAAGGTCCAATCAAATAAGTTGCATATACGTTTTTTATTTTTATTTTTTAATTTTTTTTAACTCCTTGGTAAGTAAATCACACATCTAGGGGTGCAAAAAGTTCGGTTTTGTACGGTTCTTGATGGAATCGGAACCGACCGTTTCAAACGGTTCCTAAAAAATTAGAACTAGAACCGTTGGGGTATGGTATTGAACCAAATCAAACCCTAAAGATCGGTTTGGTTTCACGGTTCCATTATAAAATTTTGAAAAATAAATTGCTTGCTTTTACCAAAAAAAATAAAAAATAAAAATAAAAAAAATTTATACTTTTGATATGCTATTTAAATTAATGCATAAACACTTACTTAATATCACATTCATTCCGTCAATTAGTATGTTTAACTCACTTTAATAAACATTTTTATAAACTGTTGTCGCAAGAACCAAACATTCTGGGCTAATAAAGTAATAATGATCGGTAGTAATTAATTTTATTTAATTTTTTTTTTTTATTTATGTAAACATTGAAATAAATAATACATTAGAAAGAGTTGAAGATTCGGAATGCATCAAACCACTTTGTATTTGATCCAAACAATTATAATATATATTATCATTATATATTATAATTTAAAAATAATATATATTAGATACACTATAGATAACGGTTCGGTCTGGTCCCAAAGGGTCTGAAACCAAAACTGAACTGAAAATCAATGGTTCAAAATTTTGGAACCGTAACCAGTACCAAACCTGTGTGAAACCGGAACCGAACCGCCTGTTCTCCAATTCCACCGAGTTTTTGTGTAGCCCTACAAACATCTACAATTGTTCCTTAAGGGGCATGAATCGTCAACCTTCTACTTGAAAAGTAGAGAAAATTAGACTAGAGATATTGAGTGAGCTGGGTATGCTATGTCATTGGTATGTCGAGCCAATGAAAATTTACTATACAGTGAAACTGGTCCCACCCACCACATGATAAAAACTACTCTCTGCAAACTGATTTGTTAGATTTTCATTGGCGGGGCATACCAATGACATGATATGCCCTGCTCACCCTGTTCCTACTCCATAAACTAACATCCAAACTTCTTTCCCTATCCCTCTTACCGGCAATTATGAACGAAGCATAAGCATAGATAAATATGAAAACAAGAAGCTACATGTAAAGTAAACTGGAATTCATATCTTGGAATTGCTAAACAACAATCCAGTTTAGTCTGTCAGTAAAGATTAAACCACAGACGTGAAGAAACATCAGTAGTTATTTGTTATACAGAAGAAAAGTAGCTAGAAACTAAACGGTACGAAGCTTCCTAAACAACCATTTCTTTCTTAGTTTAACATCCAATGCCAAAAATGTCTTCGCTTTCTTTTCATCCTCTAACAAATCACAAGCATCCAACACAAGGTCTTCATCCATGTCGGGTAAGGCCTGTATTGCTTCAATCACAGACTCTATGGAGACGGCGTTCTCATCCTCTTTTTTCTTATCAGCCAGAGAAGAAACTGCAGTTGCCATCTCCCGGAGGGCATTAGCCATGCCCTCATCTTTGCTATGTGATTTCTTGGAATTTACAGAGCATGACGGGTTTTCTAGTTGACGTTTGTTTGGCTGATCAGGACTGAATTTAAAATCCTTAAGAGATGAGTCGTGTAAATCACCAACTTGATCTTCAACTGAAACTGATGCAGCAGGAGATTGTGAACCCTTCGATGCTCTGGTAATCTTGGCTTCAAGGATTTCATCTGGTTGTCCTGAATTCTGACCCGAGACAATGTCTCTTCCATTACCACTTAATTCCCTACATATCACACCCAAATCTTTGAAGTATGGCACTGGTCTGGTCATGTATTGTCGTGCATCTGTATGTGTCTGCACATTATCACATCTAAGCCTAAGCCTTTTGAAATGGGGTTTCATTTGATGAAATTTAAAACAGACGGTGGAATTTTGCAAAATGAAATATTACCAAGACTACCAAAATTATGACAAAGAAAAAGGTCAAAAAAAAAGTACAGATCCGGGGGCCCTTCTATCATATAGAAATAAAATCATTTCATTTTGTTCGAAACAATGTTGATGAATATATACAAACAGGTCAATGCACTAATAGAAGAGTCAACCATCATGTCTTAAAATCCCGAGAGTACAACATCTATTATGGAATCGACTCATTTCAGATGCTTTATTTATGTTTATATAAAGCAGTATGGCTGTATGAAAGCAGATATATGGGCTTGTCTAATTGTTAAAACCATCAAGAAAATATATATATTTTTCCCAGTCCTATAAAGAAACAAATAAAAAAATCTGCTTCTTTTATATGCCATCTTGGAAGCTTATTTAAATGATGTAGCAGGCTAGCAGCATTGATTTTACAAATAGCTGAAAAATGCTGGACAATTTGTTTTGTGATAAAAAAGGAAAAGGAAAAGGAAAAGGAAAAGGAAAAGCCACTTCATTCAAGATGGATTCAAAATGCAGAAAATTGTGATGTATAAGTTACTCGAATCAGATGGTGTATTTCATGTAGATTTCTAACACACCTGCCATAAAAGATACGCACCTTAATATAATCTTGCCAGACACAATCATCAGCAGTCACCATTTGGCGTGCTTCATTCCACACAAACCCTTCCAAGTCAAGAAGATTCTTTATAACATTGTACTGCCTTCTTAGAGTTTTATATCGGTTTTTCAAAATATCAATTTCATACTTATAGCCAAATCTATCATTAAATGATGCATTCATCTCCATCCATGCTTGTTTGCGAAATAGACCATCAATCTGGTTCCCTTTCTGCACTTGCTCTACCATAAGATCTATGAAATAACGGTCCATTGGTAGTTGCCAATAAGTCCTTGAACGAGTACCCATCATGGAGCCAGTATCAGCTACTGGTTGAGGTGTGTCATCCATTTTTCCATCTGACGTAGAGACACCATAATCTTCATTGATAATTATTTCATGAAGGGCATCCACAGCTCCTTCACCAAAATTGCTATGCTGGGTTACTTCCATTGTTGTAGTCTTATCACCTGAATGCAATGATGATTCCACCAAATTGTCACCGAGTTCCCCTTCATCAGCGGTAGTAGCAGGAAATTTTAAATCTTCCAACAAGTTACCTGTCTCTGATCCTGCCATATTTCTATCATTGTTGTCATCTTGGCTAGAAGGGTTCCCTTTTCCTTCCACAGTTGCATTTTTATATATCAAGCACAAATCACTATAATATGGAATCGTTTTTATTCTGTAAGATCGTGCATCAGGGTTTACCTGCAAATATAATCTGTAAGCCTCGGGGAACAGATATGAAAATTTTCAAATTCCGAAATGTTAAGCACTGCACCTTGATATAGTCATCCCAGACTTTATTATCAGCAGTCACCATTTGTCGTACTCCGTCCCAGTAGAACCCTTTCTGGTCAAGAATATTTTTTATAGACTTGTATAGGTTTCTTAGTGTTTTGTGCCGATTTTTCAAAACATCTACTTTGTATTGAAATTTGAATTTTGCATCGAACAATGATGTCATGTGCTTCCATGCCCGTTTGCTGAATAAATGATCATCAATCCTATTCCCTTTGTTGACTTGCTCTAGCATGAGGTCAATGAAATAGCGATCCATTTCTGGTGTCCAAATGGTCCTCATGCGATCACTACTGCTTCGGGGCCGAATACCCATTCTTTGCCAATCAAGAAAAAGTATCAACAAAGATAGCAAACATACATGAAAATGCATTATGCTAAGAGACGTGCATTGATAAAATTTTCTACAGCATGTTTTCCATAGCAGTTTGTCAGCAGCCCATTAGCTTGAAGTAAATACTGAACTGTAAAAAAAAATCAGATTCATGTGTTCCAAATTCTGATACTCAAAGAGGTCTTTTACACAACCCAGGGATAAAATCAATTATTTTGCTCTATATAGCATTTTGAAGAAACCTTTTTTCAATTGCGTTTGACGTTCACACAAACCTATTTCAGAAAATTTAGTGGAATTTTTTTTAAATCAAGAAGATCTTGATCCAATTTTTATACTTTATCAGTTTATTTATTTATTTTTAATTAGGATAAAAGCTTAACAATGCTACTATTACACAAAGCATCCAAATGCCACCTCAGGCCTTATGCCTTTCCTCTATCTAAATTTTGCACTTCTATCTTCATGTCTGCAAAGTCCTTGGCATCTCATATCCTTGCTCTGCACTTTAAGTTTTATGCAGATGCCTGTACTTCACACATTAATTTTAATATTTTTTTTTTAAAAAAAAAAAAGGAAAAAGAGAAGATGAGATTAAGATAGTGGAAGAAACTAATTCAGCACAGAGAAAATTACTGGAGGTAAACGGATCTACCTAGATGAGTTCCAATATCAATCATCTCCAAAATTTGGAACGTAATAATATTGAGAGGACATTTGTATCGAAAATACAACACATACTGCCACTGAAACCATTCAACAGATTTGAAATGATTTGTTTCGTCATTGAAACTAAACTGAACCAAATATCCCAAAATTTATAGTAAAAATTCTTAAAAACTTCATCTTTGCATACTTATCCAAGTTCAACCTTCCAAAAATCAACAAGAAAAAACCCCAAAGCCCAAGTAGACGTTTGGTAAGAGATGGTTAAAACGTTACGACACCGTTTTATTGCAACAATTTGACTGCAGGACTCTACAAAATTCCTTTATCTTGTGCAGTGATCAACTATATGATAAAACAGTATTTAGACAAATAAATAAAGGCTAAAAGGTCGTATGCATTTTTATGAATCTTGGTCTTAAAAGTACAAGTATTAAATCTTAAACAACTAAAGAGACTCCAAATATTAAATCTCATTCTCCTAATCATTCTTTAAATTTGATTCGTCATCGCAACATTTTCTTCTTCTATACAATAAATTACACCAAGTAAAAATTATTGCACAAACATTCAAAACTATAGTTGTCTAAGAAAATTGATAAAATTTTATTCAGGATTTAATAAGAGCAAATGTGAATCATAAATGTTCTTCCTATGTTCTATCAACCTTAAAGAGTATCTTAATTGTTTTTGCCCACCATGCATTACAAATTTTTATTTTTCCTAGGACCAGCCAACCCAAATCCTAAACATTCTTATATATATACACACTAATCTGGTAACTCCATTGCAACATTGACTTGTAAAACCCACAACATGCAATAATCAAAACTACTCCCAAGACTTGCCACAACAACATCCAAAAATTTTGAAGAAATCTTTGCATGGTGATCACAAATTCCAAATTTTCTACTGAAATCTCCTGATTAATTCTTCAAAATAGTCAAGGACAAAAGAAAAGGGAAAAACCCAAAATCATAACCAAAGGAGCACGAAGATATATATATATATATATATATATATAAACATAGATAAAAAATGAACACCGCAGAGATGCATAAAACATATAAAAGGATTAGGCGTACATACATAGATAAATGAACAGATTTGAAGTATGAAATAAAGATTGATCAACGGACCTTGTCGTCGATCGGAAGATCTCAATCTGGGTTGGTGCAATCGGAGATCAAGGATAAGGTATTTCCTGGATAAGTTGGAATCTTTTTCGTTGCTGGAGTGCAACGCTAACCTCGACCGTGACACCACCCTATCCCTATCCCGTGTTTGGAATGGAGGGTAAGAAAAGAAGGGAGATAAAAAATAAAATTAAAAAAATGAAAAAAAAAAAAAAAAAAAAAAAAAAAAAGAAAAAATATACTCTGATCAATCATTTTGTTGCCCGGCAAATTAGGAAAGGGAGATTCAAATACATACAAAAAAATAAAATAAAAATAAAATAAAAATCTAGAATAGGGGCCCACCCCCTAAAATTTTTAATTTCTAAAATTATATCCTATATTTTTATTTCTTCTCTCTCTTATACTCTTAAAATTCCTTTGATTTCCTTAAAAAAAAGTTAAATTATCCTTCTTCAATCAAAGTCTAATTGTTTCCTTTTAAAAATTTCATTTTTCTTTCCTTTATTTTCGTACTTAAAATTTTCTTTTTGCACTATGCGTATGCAATTTTTTTTTCTATTTATTTTAATTTCATACTCTAATAAATGAAGTTAATGGGTCTAATTTTCATGCATCACTTTCAAAATAAAAGATTTATAACTATATTCAATAAAAATATTAATGATTAAATAATATTTTAGTTCTTATATTGATCAAATACTTATATTTCTTATTCTATTCATTGATTTAGCATATTTGCAATAATTTTTTTTTCTCCTTCATTTGAACAATTTATATTTGTCATGTTAATTGAATTTTTTATTTTTTATTTTTACATTACCCTGAATTAAAATTCTGACTCCGCTCGAATATAAAATAAGTGTTTGGTAACTGAATTTTCACCAAATTTTTAATCTACAGTTCTCTTTGTTTTGGATTTTGTTTTGCAACTCACTCTCTTCTTTATCTCAATCTGTTTTGCAACTCACTCTCTTCTTTATCTCAATCGGTGAATTGTTGTCTTTTGGATGAGAGATTTTTTTTAAAATATATTACAGATTTCTTTCTTCTTTTTTTTTTGTTTTCTTATGAACAATTCATGCATGCGTGTATAATAAGATTTTTTTTTTTTTTTTTTTTTTTTTTTTTTTTTTTTTTTTTTTTTTTTTTTTACGCATGTCTCTTGCTATTCTGTGCATTGTCCTTAACCATATTACTTTCCGAATGCTCATTTTCTTGGTGGTCTTTCAATTCGCTCTCTCTTAAAATTCTAAGATTTAGTTTGATTTTTAGATCTCGTCAAAAAAATAATAATAGTAGTAGTAGTGCAAAGGAAATTTGTTGTTGAGATTTCTCACTTCATTTAAGTATGATAAAGATAAAATATATTAAGATTTTTCTTTCTTTCTTCATTTTTTTTTTTCTTAGCATATTATAGGGGCTCGAACACGAGCACATGCACTCGAAGATATAAACGTTCTACCAACTGGATCACTTGATAATACCTTAATTTATTTTTTTTATTTTTCTCACAAAATTTACGAAGTAAAACGAAATCTAAGGTGTTAGCGGACGATGTTGGATGTAAAGTGTACATATATATTCCTTGTTTCATTTCCTTGTGAGGCATGTTGTACATTGTGATTGAACTAATATTTTTACTTGGGTAAAATGGTTGATCCTAAATGGTACTTATTAGAATCCTTGATTGCTGCTACAATCCAGCGAGTGTTATAATTGAATCGCAGTCCCAAAATTCAGCCCAAAATCAATCTACAATTACACTTGAATGAATTGCTGCCCCAAAATTCAGCCTTTATTTTTGTCCACGTGTGATAATTTTATTCTTGTAATTATTGTAATAAATTTTGTACAAAATTTTAGGACTTAGTTTCCTAAACTCATGTAACTAGTGTAGTATATATACGTTATACTCAATCGATGAGAGATATTACCTGGGTTATTTCTGGTTCGTTGTTTCCATCAGGATGCCGCAATCAAATAATTCCAGCAATTCTAGAAACTCTTTTATTGCTACAACTAATGTTTACACACATATCCTATTTTCACCGAGGTTCGAACTTTCGATCTCTCCAAAGGGAGGAAGGGATGATATCGCTAGGTCATTTGATCCTTTGATCTACAATTAATGTTGTTGATGCAAATTTGATGTTTCCTCGCCATTCCTTCATCTTTTTGGACTCAAAAAGCCAAGAGCAGCTTTTCGAATCCAAACAAGGGAGAGGGAAACAACATATACACAAAACACGTTTCCAATTTGACAATTTTCAAAGATTCACGCATCTGCCCTTCAACTTGGCACATGCATCTGCCAAAGTTGGAAGTCTTCTGTCTATCGACTTTGAATGGTGTTATATATATATATATATATATATATATATATATATTCTCCTCTCCCTCACTTGTTATTGTCAATGCCTATTCCTTTTAAATCTGATCGAACAACGTAGAGAAATTGATCAAGGATTTAAGTGTAAAAAAAAAAAAAATCATCATTGTTGTTTTGATTTGGTGTTTTGTGTCACTAGTGTTTGGAATTTTATTTTATTTTTTTGACGCCAAACCTTTACCAATTTTATTTTTTTCATTCAAGGATAAAATTAGTATTTAGGATTAATTTCACTGACATCCCCCTCTAAGTTTGACCAAATATCACACTGAAATACCTTTCAAAAATTACTATCACTCAAACTCCAAATTACTTTTTCGCCAAGTTTATCGTCAAAAAATAATAAAAGGGAAAGTCTGAAAACACCCCCGTGGTTTTAAATTTGTGCGACTTATCCCTCTTTAGTTAGATTTATTTATATAAATCCATCCAAATATAAAAATGTGTGATTAAGCCACTTTCAGTGACTATTCCAACGAGAATTGGACTCCAGTTGGTCATCTGCCATGCACACGACCATTTTAAACCATTTATTCCGGAATTGTCCTTTTAACATTCCTTTAGTACCCCTCACCATATATATATATATATGTATGTATAAATTGATTTATACCCTAATCTTTCTTTCTCTTTCTGGTCTGGCGCTTCCTTCTTCCTCGTTCCTCCTCCTTCTTCGTTGTTCTCCTCCTTCCTCCTACTGGCGTCCCATATATGACACTGTAAGTACTCCCTATTTTATGTCTTTCTTTGTTTCTCTCTCCTTATTTTCACCCTCACCCAAACTACACCATATCTTCTCTTTTCCACTCTCTATTGCACTCTCTGTTGCAGGTTCCCAATGGCATACTCTTCAAGTTCTGCAAATCGAAGCTCAAGTGGGCATAATAAGAAAAGGATGTATTGTTATTATGGTTTAAAAACACTCATAAAGACCTCTTATACTAATAGGAACCCTGGCAGAAAGTTCTATGGCTGCCCAAATTATCCATCACCAACATGTGATTTTCATATGTGGGAGGATGAAGAAGTTTCTGATTACTACAAGCATTTCATTTATGATCTTATATCAGAAGTTAGGCAACATAGAAAAGTTCGATCTGCAATTAAAAATTCTAGTTTTGGTGTTGACGATAGAGTTGTGGAGCTGCAGAACATGGTATTAGCAATGTAGAGGCAACTAGACTGTGATACCCCTCGGATCCGAGACATGGGTTGATCAGGCCCAAGCCCAAACCTGAGGAAAATATCAAACAATCAATATGTAATTGAACACAGAATACAAGATGAAATAAGAAATAAAAATAATAAACTGAAAGAATGCTAATTGAAAATCCTTAAAATATAATTATTGAAAACCAATACTCCAAAACTCTATAAGGTTAACAACTCGGGAATCCATCCAGTGGACCCCTTAATAAAAATCCCAATAGAAACTAAAACAACAAAAAATAAACTCTAAAGCTAAACATATAAAGAATTCCTACGTAGTCGGAGGAATGAATGTCTGTATCTACACTGCACGTCTAATCTCTAACCCTGGAACTGACGAATACTTGAAAAATAAGAGAGTGGGTCAGGCCCACATGCAAGTCCTATTCTACTACAATCCATACAGTAATCCGATACGCAGATACATCCTAGGAAGACTCAACAATATCTAGAGTAATTCATATGTATATATATAGTACACACTATAGGACGCTCGCTAATCCAGTAGGTCTATCTCAGCCTGAGTAGAGATACCATGCAAATCGCACATAATGTGGTCATGTGTACCTAGACCTACCAGGAAACAACACCTATATCCAGTTATCCATCCTAGGCGATATACGCGCCCTAACCATGGTCCTGAGATTCAAGCTCATACCATGGCACCATAACATAAATATATAAAGTCCGTGTCCTCCTAATACAGAATATCATCCATCTGATATAGTGGCGTGATATCTGTATAACAATTCATCCCAGAAATCCAATTGTGGCATTCAGTTATTTACTGACCTGACACCAACAGAAGTCGGACTTAACTTTTATTGTTAATCCGAACCTCAATCCAGATTAGGTAGGCTTAGTGTCTGAACTACTCTGTACCTAGTATGCCACCGTCCCATACTGGTGCACACCATCCTCCATTTACCATAGTTGACAAAATAATTAAATAGTTATCAACTACATTCCAAAATAAGCACAATTACAATCTAACATGCGTAAAACTGAATCATACATCCAATAATAGACTTAGAAATCCTGTTCCAATCCTTTAAATTAACGAAGTACAACTACGCATTTAACTCCTCCAACCAGTCCATAGATTTACACAATTACGTATATTTCCACATCAAGCACTCTGAATTAAGCATAAATATTTCAAGTAACCAACTATGCTCAATACAGTGTTACAACAAGGTTAACAGTATTAAATCATGTAAACATAAATTGCTAAACAAATTTCAGTAAGCCATTTAAAGTAATTGTCCAACCTTCCACATGCAAGCTTCCTGTTTAACCATATGTTCTTTCATGCTACAACATAATTATATTAACATGCTTCCCAGTATTTCTACATGCTTATAACAGTTATATAGACCATAAACTGAAATCTAAACAACTTAAAATTAATCCAAACTGCAAAACAGAACCCCAAACCATCAAAAAATCACAAAATCGGTGGAAAATAGGGTTGGAGCCGCCTCCAGAACATTGGAGCCGGCTCCCCCCTAGGTGGAGCCGCTTCCACCTTATGTGGAGCCGGCTCTACCCCTTGTAGAGCCGGCTCTACAAGCCCTAGAGCCGCTCCACTCTTCTGGTGAGCCGCTCTCCTCTTTTGAGAGCCGTATCCCCTAACCTGTTCGTCTTCTTCGCCTCCGGCGAAGTCCAGAGTCACCGTACAGTTTTTAAAACTTATTCCAGGGTTTAATTAGCGAAGTCTAGAGTCACCGTACAGTTTTTAAAACTTATTTCAGGGTTCAATTGATGTCTTAGAATTAATTAAAAGCATGCATTCAATTCTAAATACACAAAGGTTAAGCAAGATTACAATCAGTGCAAACAAATTCTTAAACAAGAATAACTTCTTACACAAAACAGATTTATGCAACGATTTAAAAATTGATTCAAACATGCTTACAAGATCAAAATTAACTTTAATTTAATCTGTTTTAATGCTTGATTAATCCCTGGGGTCTAAATAGGCATGCACAGAACACGAATTAAAGGGAAGGAATAGAATAGTGACTTGCCTTGAGTTTCAGTTTTGAAACTCTAAACCACTGTCTCTAAAACTTCTATCCACGTTCGAGACTTCTGTTCTAAATCTCAAGTGCTCTTGGTTCAATCCAGAAGCACTCCGTCCAGTGTATCCTTGAACCTCTCCGTCAACCTTACCAGTTTTCACTCTCTGTATCTCTCTGTCTCACGGTATACGTATCAGTGAATAGGGTTTTTCTATGTAACCCTAACCCAACGTATAATATTGTATTTATAAGCTTTAGCACAACCCTAATTTTAATACAAAACCAACCCTAAGTCGGCTACATCCGTGTCAATAAAACCCTAATATAAATACATATGTGCCTCCATACAGTCACGTTAAAACAATTAAAATATAATTAAGTCAATTCAATTAATTCAATTAAAACAACTAAATTACATCAGTTAAACAATTATCTAATAATTAATTCAATACAATTTATGCAAATATAAACAATTTCAAATAATGCAAATATAAACAAACCGCCAATTAAATAAAAAAAACAAATAACAACAATTAAATAAATAATCAAATAAACAATTAAACAAAAATAAATGCAATGTAAACAATATAATAAATACCAGGACTATCCTTTTGAAATTAGGGGTATTACATAGACCAAAAAATAGAGGAAATGAATTCAATGCAAAGAGAAATGGAGAGGAAAACAAACAAATGTACTTTCAACCTTTTGGTTGCTGTTGTGTATGCTCTTGTTGGTCTTTTGGCTATTGTTCTAATTTTAAAAGTTATTGTATGAGCTTTGTTCCCAGTGAGATGCTTGTTAGATGGTTTGGGACTTTTGTTAAAGAAGTTGAATGAATGGGAAAAAAATAAAGAATGTGTTCTATGAGTTTTCAAAACCTGTGTTCTGTCAATTTTTTTACTTAAACACAAATAAAACCTGTATGAAACCTGTAAATCATGTATTCAGAGAAGAATCAAACCGTCCATTAACCAAACTTGTATAATGGAAACCAACTTACAGCATTAACCAAAACTGTATAATGGAAACAAGTCACATGCATTAACAAAAATTGATACAAATGCCAAACATGACAATATCTAGCCATTACATACAAATGCCAAAGAAAACTTCATGACACACACATAATCAAACCATCTTCAGAGGTTTAACATTACAAAATAAAAAAGCAATGCACAGCCCCTTAAGTCCCATGTTGACAGGAACACAAAAATACATTTTCATAGTTTAAACATTACCAAAATATACCACTACACAGCCCCTTAAGTCCCATCTTTACACGAACACAAAAATACATTGTCACAGTTTAAACATTACCAAAATAAAACCACTGCAAAACCACCAAAATACATATTCACATTTTTAACAACAGCAAAAAAAACCACTGGATAGCCCATTGTCACTGCACCACAAAGAGCATCTTCACAGCAACACAAAACCAAAAAAATTTCACTGCACAGCCCTTAAGTCCCTCTTTAGTTTATGACTTACAAAGCAGTGGTAAGCTTTTTAGTTTATATTCAATTATGTAAAGGTAAAAATTTGTAGAGGTAAAAATTTGTATTGTATAGTTATTATACCTAACTGCCATGTGCATTCATTGAATTGGTCCCAACTTCCATCCTCTGCAAGCTTAATCTTCCACCCCTTTGCACTCTAATTGTTCCAACACTTTGCAGACCCTCTGAGGTACCCTTTTATGGAAAAGTAACACTATTAGGTTATATATTCAAGTATATAGGGTTAAATTCAGATAACTCTTTAATGATGTTGAAAAGAAAGAAAAACAAAAACAAAAAGTAAATAGACCATCCAACTGAAGTAAATACTAGTTAAGTCAATGCCAAGTTGTAAATCAATTAAGCATTTTACATAAATCATAAACAATAATCCAAAGGAAAATATATAATAAAAAAATATATAAAAGAGTATTTATACCTGACTGCCATGTGGTTCAGTCATTGAACTGGTCCCAACTTCCATCCTCTGCAAGCCCAATCTTCCACCCCTTTGCACTCTAACTATTCCAGCCCTTTGCAGACCATCTGATGTACCTTTTTTTATAGAAAAAATAACATTTTTAGTTTGTATATTTAATTATATAGGGTTAAATTCAGAATAAGTACTCTATAGTATTTATACCTGATTGCCAACTCTTCCAGCCCTTTGTAGACCTGTTAAGGTATGCTGAGAATCTCCAAACCTGTTACCAACAAATAAAGTTGTCCTGGGAATTGGTGGTCTTCCCCCCTTGCTTACTCTTTGTGTTGGTGGAGCTGGATCATTCTTACAACTTGTAACGACCCACTCCACCACATGGTATGATATTGTCCGCTTGGAGGCCCGACGTCCCCGTCGGCACACTTCCTGCTGGGTCAGGCTCTGATACCATTTGTAACGACCCGCACCACCATATGGTATGATATTGTCCGCTTTGGGCTTGAGCCCGCACGGTTTTGCTCTTGGACTTCACCCCAAAAGGCCTCATACCAATTGGAGGTGACACACTTACATATAAGCACTTCACCTTTCCTCTACCCAGGCGATGTGGGACTATGCACCCGTAGCTCGCCAGTGTGGTAGCCTGACAGTGTCTCTCGCACCCGCCCATGGCACACCCGCCCACAAGGTCATCACACAACTTCTAGAATTGTGTCCAACAATTAAACACTTTTTACATCTTACTTTTCCCCTTTGAACTCTAACTGACTTACTAGAACTACCTTCAGTTGCAGCCTTTGTCCTTGCCTTCTTTGGCCTTCCAGTCCTCTTTCTAATAATTGGTGGGTCAACTGGTCCTTTTCTAGAATTCACCATTTTCCTCAATGACAATGGCTTTATCGCATGTGCATAGGATTTGAGGTAAGTTTCCTTATGGTAATATGGATCCACATAGTCCTCAACATTATACCTTTTATAAATTATGACTGCTACG